CGAGATGAAAACTCTACGATAATAATGTTAATAACTTTATAAAAAGAAAAAATACAATAATATTTTAGAGAAATAAACTCTCTCTCTCTATATATATATACTAGAAAATAAGGTTCATGAATTTTATTTTTTAAAAAAAAAATTAGAATGTAATTTTACCGTTATGGTATTTTAAATTATATTATACTAAAAATAATATGGATTGTATCACTAGAAAATAATAAAATATGTGATTTTAAAAAAATCTTTAAGAAGTGTTAAAACCCACATGGGATTTTAAAAAAATCTTTAAGAAGTGTTAGGCTTTAACATATTGGAGATAAGAAATGAATCTAAACACATTTCTTAGACTTAAATATGTTGGATTCAAAATATGATGATATTAGGGTATATGCCTAGCCTGCGAAGCATGTTATACCCATAGTGAGTGTGCATCTTGTATGGACTTGCATTTCTTGCCTTAAATTATGTTTTCTAGAGAGTTGAGCTGCTCGGGTTATAATGTTTGAGTCCATTTTTTTTGGATCTCTAAAATTTTAAAATTAGATTTTAAAGAAAGTTTAAAATTTATTTTAAAAATAATTTATTGATCTATTTTATTTTAACCTATCAAATAAAAAATACACGATAAAAAATGCATGATAGAGCGAGCGAAAAACCTATTCACTCGAAGAGTTTTTTATTTTTTTAATCAAAATTCACTTTGAGGTTAACAGTTCAAAGTTCAAACTACCATATTTCCGAATGAAGAGTCCCAAATACGTCTTCCATCGTGTTGAAGGAAGGTGTGTGTGTGTAAGGGAAAGATTCCAAAAACGTCATGTCAGCTGTCAAATTCAAACAGCACGTGGGATTATAATGAGAATATTGAAACATAATATATGATTTAATATCGTAATTATAACATTTATATTTTCTCAGATATAATCATAAATGTTTCCCTTCCTTTGGTCATTTTCCACCATGACATAGTATTCCACTGGCACATTGAGCGAAGGTGGTATAAATCTGTTGTGGGTTGACTAAAAAAAAATTATAAACATGCGTTTGTTTTAAAGTGTTTTTTTAATATTTTTTTATTATTATGAGCAAAAAATTTGATATATATATGTATTTAATAAAATATTTCAAGAATTAAATAAATTAAAAAATATTAAAAAAAATTGTTAACTAAATTAGAAAGCTAAAAAAATATAAAAAACTTTTAATCTTACATATAAACCTTTCAATTTTTTTATTTAACTAATTACAAAGTAAAAAAAATTATAACCAAAGCAATAGTTGAATTCCATTAAAATAAAATAATTTGTCAAGATAATTCCTCATTTTCTTATTAATATTTTTAATTTTAAATAAAAAATATTTTAAAACAAAACGTATTCGACCACCATGCTTTTCTTTCAATTCGATTTCAGTTTTCCCCATTCTATTGTATGGAAGCTTTCCAATTATATATATATATATTTCAGGTTTTTATATTCCTTTCATTTCCTTGCAATAGATCAATTTTTTTTTTCCTTTTTTTTACTAAGTCTTTTTTTTCATATCCTTGTATTTTATTTTGACTGTTGGATTTATATCCTTTTTAATATACTCTTGATCATTATCCAAGAAAAAAAAAATCCCTGAATGCAAAATTTTGTTTACCCTTTTGTTATCATTTTCCTATGAAGAACTGTATGTGTCACTAGTTGGTGGGAGAAACCACTTGTGGTGGCTTTGAAACACTCGGAGGGGATAA